TTAAATACATGTTAATACTGCAGAAATGTATATGCCAGCCCAGTCTTCTTTTTCAAGATCCAGACTTATATATTCAGTTTGACTTACCCACTTAGATTTCTCACAAGCATTTTGAATTTGATAGGCCCAGAAGGAACTATTTATCTTAACCACAAAGAGCTATACTTTCTCAAGTCTTCTCCTTAGAAAATAGCACAGTTGCTCAAATTAGAAATCTGGGAGTTGTCCATGACCCCCTTCCTCACCTCCTCACATCCTTACTAGCACCAAGTTCTGCTCACTATGCCTTAGCTCCATCTCTGCTACCAATGTTCTCCACCAAATCATCATCAGCTCTCGTTATGTCCCGCAGAGCAGCTGGACAGAACTATGCTGTTTCTACAGCTTTATCGTGTGTGCCTGTCCCCTGCTCCATTAGGCTCTGGCCACCTAGGGACTTCTTAGTTCCATTTTAAGATCTTTCTTACCTCAACACCTTCCCACAGGCTCCCTTTGGCCAGAATGTCTCCTCCTCCCGCCACCCCTCCCCCCATTTTTACTCTTAGCTAATGAGTTCACACCATTTGTGTCTCAGGTGGAATGTCACTTCCTCCCAGATGTTTTCTTAACCCAAGATCTTGAATGTCCACTCCCACCAAGAGACAATGTCCTATCACAATTTGAAGTTTTGTATTTATTTCACATTTCCTTCACAAGTCTCCATGGGATCAAGAACTGTGTCTGTCTTTTTTTATGACTATCTTTAATACTTAGCCAATGTCTACCAATAAATATTTGTTGAATGAACAAACTTCTGTCTTCTTTGTCCTACTTAGCACTCACAGGCTGGCAGCACAGCCATACCATTTTGTATCACACGTAAGCCTCTCTCAGTGACACGAAAAGATAGGAGTCTTTGCAACTACACAGATCTGGCTCAGACACCCACCACCAAACCCACTGTGATCTGGGCAAGCTGCCTACCCTCACTCGCTCCACCATAAAGTGGGGGAAGCAAGTGGGGGAAATAATATCTGTCTTTTAGTAAATTTATAAAGATTAAAATGACATCATGTACATAAAGTACTGATCATAACAGTACTCAAAAAAGTTCCCTCCCCTTTTTTCCATACCTCCCAATCAACTCCAAATACTTCTCACCCAGTAGGTACACGTGCATACACACAGCTTTTGACGGTTTGAGACCGTCCATCTCGCCCTTCTGAATCTTTCTTATTGTGACTTTTTTAAGGTGAGTTTTGCCTTTAGGGGATGAGACACTTAACAATGAAACAGAATTTATAACATTAAACCAAGTATGTAACTGAAGTCCTAAATAACTGGAGTTTATACTATAAGGGTACCTTCTCCAATATATGTGGAGGTAACACAAAGAGAAAGGAAAAGATGTTTTTGATAGTGTGGAAGATATTACTTTAAAAGAAAACACCAGATGGCAGCAAAGATGCTGAAGAACTATCTGAAGGGATTTTAAGCTCAAACCTGAGCATCTGGAATGGTAGCTTAAAACTACATTGAGAGATACAATCATTTCTAGAAAAGATAGTTTCCCTAAAGAAAAAATGAGGCCTACTTCGTAATATAGTGAAGAATTTTTGGAAAGGTGTTCCACATGTGACAAGCATAATCTTAAAAAAATAACCTCAAGAATTATCTAACCAATAAAAGATTAGACAAAGGGTTGGCTTTGGTTTATAGTTATATTTGATTAATTCTATCAATCTGTATTCCAATTAGCTAGAAAGGGCCTAAAGCCAAAAAATGAAATACTGTTGGCTTTTAGAAAGGCAAGTATTTTTCCAAATATTTAATGTAAATATCAAAATTTATCCACTCATGTTAAAAAGAAGCAGAAATGACCTCTGTTACTGTACTCCTCAGCATCACTTAGCAAACTACTTAGTAAAACAGACATCAATAAACCTCACCAAATAAATGCAATATTAAAATTCAAAGTTATAATCTATGATTCTCCATAGTATGCATCAAAATCTCACCTGGAATTAATACCACTATTAAAATCTTGCTAAATTGGATATTGCTTATTCCAGCTTTCCTTCTCTTAGGGGGAAGAAAGGCAGTGTAGTGCTGCTGGTAACACCATGCAGTGGGAGAGCCCCAAGTCTGGGGCAGGCACACCTTCTAAATGCAAACCCAGAGTGAGGGCTTTATCCCTCTTCCATACTGCTTAGTGTCCTGCAAAACTTTGCTGTGAGATCAGGAGGAGTGAATGCAGCCCCCCTATATTTTGAATGGGAAGCAATAGGACAATTCAAGCCCGCAAAGTGGTCACAGCGCAGGGCTAATGCACAGTGCCAACTGAGGTCTTGGGAGAGAATTTGCCTTAGTGACATTTGTTTAGGTTTAGAAATGATTGAAAGGTGACAGAAGCATCTGTGTCATAAGAGGATTGAGCCAATCTATGTTGGAAGAACATTCTGAGCAGAAGGTAATTCACTCTGCCAGCGAAACAGTCGTTGTTGCCCAACTGGAGGGAATTGTTTTCCAAGGACTGTGATCATGGTTCTGAAAGTTTTCTTCTTACCTGAGTTCACTATAAGACAGAGTTCCCTGGGAACATCAGGCAAGACCATTGGTTCTGATCAGAAGTCAAATCAAGGATTCTAGAGGGAAATTGTTATAGTTGACAAGGGAAGAAATGGACTAAACATTTGAACTGTAAAAAGAATGCGTGTGCATCATAGTCAGCCGAAAGTTGACCGTCACAGGCAGATGAAATTCTGAAATCTAATAATGCATAGGGTTCTTTACGGAAAATGTATGATTCATGGCACTGTCTAAATTTTCAATGATATAAAGAAAAAAATCAGTACCAGACAGGATCAAATCATAAACAAAATCATAATTTTGCATAAACAAAATTATGATTTTGTTTATGATTTGCATGGCAAACCTCTTTTTTAGCAAAGGAATAAAGTCCATAGTTTCAAGAATCACATGCCTCTTTGAAGCCTAGAAGATTTCTCCATTGTAATTAAACCAAGCTTGCTTTAAATCTGGTGACTAAAGGGACCCTAAGTTACATGGCCTTTCTATGACCTCCTCTAAAGCCCACACGGTCCCCAAACAGGCTAGCACACATCTGACAGCCGTGGGCACCACCTTCTCCCTGACATGTGCCTTTTCAGGTCTGGGAGCAGGCCATGTCCTGCAGATGCCCCCGTCCTGACGAACTCCCCCTACACTATTCGAAACGCACGAGGCATCAAGGGCCATTGCTGGCCTCCCCGCCTGACATGCTCCACTCCAGCTGACTGCGTGAGTCAGAAGGTGTCTTCTTGTGAAGCCATGGGCCCAGGCCAGCCTCTTTTAGCAGTCGTGACTGAGTGAGAACATGCTGTGCTCAGCCTGTTGGCTCCACTCTTGGGAGCACAAAGTATGTGTTATAACAACAAGCCCAAGAATCCTGACCACACTCTTCCCTATCTCAAGATCTGTAATGAGAACATTTGAAGTAAATGCATACAATCGGGAAACAGGGCTGAAAGTCATGCACTAACAGAGTTTCTGATTGTGACCCTGAGACACGATCCTTTTGCTCTTTGAATCCAGACCTCACATGTTTTGGAAAAAAAGCAACAACCAGAAGATGAGAAAAACAGATTGTGTTTATGAGAACAGCCTGCAGTTCATGCCACATTTAAGAGGTTGGGTTTTCATTCAGCAAAGAAACCATCCATTCTTTCTTCAAGGTTCATCAGAAAACACACCCAGCTTCTGTGAGTCTAACTCTTCAGTTTTAGGATCATTGTTTTAAAATCTTCTAAAACAGAAAGTCCATAATAACTTCATTTTAATCATGGAAATAAGAGAAAAGTACTAGATATTTTCCAAAATAATGCAATGAAAAAGTAAGGAAAAAAACTGGGATTAAAAATAAAAGCTCTCCCCGACCCCCACCTCCCTCTGGTTTAATCCTTTGCCATAGCTTGAGTACCTTTAATTTCCCCAAAACAGTCCATTTAAAGAGCCCCACAGGTGGGAGTTTCAAGTAGCAAGTCATAGAAAAAAAAAGACCTTGAGCACTTCCTATTTCTCATGAGTTGACATTCTGTAAGGTGTGATACGGAAGTGCACATCCACTCCCCTGGCTTAATGGTAGGACAAAGCCCATGGACCATGCCGTTTTGCCGGTAGTCAGCCTCGTAAGTATCCTTCCCAGATCCTGGTTGATGACGTAACGTCAGGTGAAGGCCCAGTCCCTGGGGTCACAGGGTCATGCTTACTTACAATTGCCCAGGTGGTAAGTCAGGGCATGGCGTCTAACCCAAACACAAGGTACAGAGCAGCAGCAGGAATTCAGCATTTTCCAGAACCATGAACATACACTAGTTGCTTGGATGTCTAAACTGGGGTTAATTCCCCACATATTACAATCATGTAAGTGTTAAAAGAAAACATGCTATATTCGCAGAGCATGTCTATTTCTGCAAGTGTTCCAGTGTTTAATTATTGCTAAAGTCATTTGGGGTTTTTGACACAGATTCTATTTTAGTAAGATAAACTCAGCATAACCCAGATTGCCAAAAATGAATTCCTAAGGTAGATGACTAAAATAAACTGGTAATAAATATTGGCTTTTGGAACGAGAATTATAGCTCTGTAATGTAGACATAGCATTAATGACTCATTTTCAAATAACAGTCTCTCCCAAGGATTATTGGTCTGAGGGATCAGGGAAGCAAGAGGTCCATCTCTCTCTCTCTCTCTCTCTCTCTCTCTCTGTTTTAGGCAGCAGAATGGAAGAGGTAACCCACCAGGCAAAGATGTTCTTATGTCTACTTTGCCAACAGAGATATAGCCCCTGGAGTTGAACAGAGATTAACTTGGACAGGCTGCATTGGGGCAGAAATAGGCTTTGAAAGAAACCATACTAGGGGTTGAGGCAGTTGATTCTGGGTCAGTTGTCTCTCATGCCCCTGGAGGCAGGATGTACTGCTCCCAGGTCCACCCGGTGCCTCTCATGTGGCATGAATTACCTTATCAGTCACAGTGGGTGCTGCTGTGTTCCTTTGCTGCTTGACATTAGTGGACTCTTTTAAGCCACCTTTACTCCCTAAGGTCAAGTTCTGAACATGTGGCCCACTCGGTTGAGCTTTACAACTTCTCTGGTGTACTAGAAGGCGGTCGGGGGCAAAGGTCCGGCTACAATTTGGGCAGGGCACAAGCTGAGCTTGACTTGGCCCCTCTCCAGTAATAAGGGGCTGAGGCTTCTGTGGGAGTGGCTGGCGGAGCTGCCTGGGGAGCCGGTCATTTTCTATTTTCCACTTTTCCAGGCATTTGGGCTCATGGATAGGGAGGGAGAGGGTGCCAAATTCCCTGCCACAAATGTAGCAGATGACAGTCTTTGGTCGAGCTGGGATGCCACCAGAAGCTTTCTTAAGACCAGTAAGATCAGCAGAACTGTTGGGGTTTGGTGCTCTGGGCCCCTCTCCCTTTGGCTTGCAACTTCTCTGGTGAACAAGAAGACGATCTGGCAAGAATGTGCAGCCACAGGATTCACAGGGCAGCAGCTGAGCCTGAGAACTCTGGAACGCTGCCTCATTCACTGCCTGAAGATTGTAGGACCCACTGCCGCCGAGAGGCTGTGGTTTGGAGGGTTCTGGCCTCCTCAGGTGCTTGGGCAACTTGCTGTTTTCAATACGCCACTTCTCCAAGCACTGCGGCTCGTGGATGGCAAGTGACTGGGACCCAAATTCTCGGCCACAGATGTAGCATATGGGGAGCCCAGGCCGGCGGGATGGGATCACAGGTCGGCCTGGCTGGCTTTCTGACATGATTCTCTTACTGGATCGTTTTGAGAGTATTACAGTTCCAGGTCTATTTTTCTGAGAGTTTTTCCTTATTTTTTCACCAGGATTGACATGTTCTGTTTCTGGCAAAAGGCTAGAATAGGAGTCACAAGGTAGAACAGCTTGATTGATAAGGAAGGTAGTTTCTTTAGAATGGTGGAAAGTCTGTTGTGATTTTTGGGAAACCCTCTTCTCCTTTCCTCTTTCCATTAACAAAGAAGTCTTTCTCTAGCCCTTGCTCTGATGTCAGCCCAGATTCATTTGGGGCTTCTTAGGGCAGAGGTTGGTAAAGGCGGCTGTCCTGGGGTTCCACATTGTTGCAGCGCCTTAGACCTCAAGACCATGACTCAGAGCTTCAGTGCCAGGCAGCATCCTGGGACACTGGGAAGTCCCCGTTAAGCCTCAGATGCCTGCAAGATCTGTGGGGGAAACAAGTCAAGAAGTTATTGCGCCCGCCCACACACGCCCCTGCTAGATCAAAAGTTGATAAAGAGCAGTATCTTATTATTTTTTTTTTGACCCAGTGTCTTCTTTGGCTAGCCTGGCAACAAGTACATAGGATTTTTTTCTGGGACTGTTGAAATAAACTTGAAGACAATTTCCATTATGAATCGCACTTACTGTATTGAAATGAATATTCTGCCCAAAGAAAAATGGACATTTACAGCACATTACAGACACATAGGACACAAACCAGCCAAGGCAGGGTGCTGAGATCACAGGAGAGAGAACCAAGAAGTGTGGAAATTCTGGATTAATGGAACCACAAGTTGTGTGAACAGACCTCCTCTGACCACCTTAGGGACTCTTCACATTTGAGGGCTGTGGATCCCTTTGATAGCTCTTTGAAGCCTATGAAACTCTTTTCAGAATAATGATTTTAAAAGCAAAAAGCCAAAATTCTTACCATTACAAGTGAAACTGATTTTATTGAAATAATTTAGCAAATATTTTTACTTGTTGCATGTATTTTATTTGTGGTATAGTAATGTGCCAGACTTTTTGAGTGTCTGAGGGTCTAAGGTTAAGAACTCTTATAGAGTCCAACAGTGAATATTATGAAATGTTATTGAATTATAAAAACTCTCACAGGGAGCATATGTGTCTTATAACCTACCAGGTGTCCACTTTTCTTTACGATGGGAATGGAGCATCAATAAACTGGGGCCATACCTGTCAAACAAACCAAGACTGTGTCTCGGTCCTGGACTCTCCCTGGTGGAATACACACAGAGCAATCTTCCCTGGGATGAAGAAGCTCAGACTTGGCTTCATGCTCTTCTTGTAACTCTTGTGCTCACTATCCTATTTTATATATCTGTATCTCTACCTACCTACCTATCATCTTCCAAATGATTTTTATAAAAACATGGCCAGTGGTTTTCCCAAACAAACCAAAGACAAAGGGCTGAAGCCTATGGAGTGTTTACCATGCGGAAAGTCATGGGACAATTTTACCCCAGGCCTACAATCTAGCCCCAGGAAAGATTATTGTTCGGAAGTTTTAGGACTATCTTCACTTCCCAAAGGGTGACCTGGATCTGCGTTAGAGGTTTTGTAGCATCCGGTCCCAATCACAGACGCTTGACCACGGCAGACACTTGAGTTCAGTCAGAGCAAGAATGGCAGTGCTAGTGATATCCAAACCCTGTCGGGGCATTGTGCTTGATAAAGGACCAAAAGAGCCGTGAGGTCTGTGCCCGGTTCCTGTATTTTGGTGCCAAGAAAGGTCTGAATCTTTGTAGTTATGACTATCAAATGAGGTCTGGCACAGAGAAGGAAGTTATTCGTCATTTTGACAGATCCTAAGACAGTGATATTAACACATGTGACAAAAGAATGTGTTGGCCTCAGAGTGGCCAGCACAGAAAATGAAGCTTAGAGAAACAAAATTTATCACTCGATCAGCACCATCCAAAGGAGAAAATGGACCTAGAAAACACAGGATTCTGGCAAAATTATTTCATAGGTTTTACCAGCAAATGGGTGAAATAACCCCTCACACTACTCTGTTGGTTTTGATTTCTTGTTCACCAAGGATCTCCTGTTTCCCATTTTCCTTGGTACCAGGAAGTTTCAGGCACCAAAAGCAGTTAAGAAGACAGATTGGAAAGACCAATGCAATCAAATGAACTTACTTCTCCCTCCCTTTCTCAGTCTCTCTCTCTCTCTCTCCCTCTCTCTCTCATACACACACACACTGTTCCCAGCAGATCAGAATCCTGAGAAAGCCCCATGACTTGCCCCAACAACTCCTCCATTCCTCTTGTGATAAGAGAACTAATATTAATTGAATGCCAAATATGCATCAGATATGGTGTTAATTTTTATAAACATAATGTAATTCTCAAATGGTTCTGAGGCAGGTATTATTATTTCAGTTTTATAAATGTAGAAATTATGACTCAGAAAAGACAAATAACTTGCCCAAGACAGTCAGTTTCTAAATGACAGAACTGGGAATCAGTTCCAGCTCCCTTTGGCTCCAGTACTCAGCAGTTTCCATTATTCATCCTGCCTGAAATTCCACCAGCAGAGCTTCTTCTCTTTCGTTTTTATCCGTTTTAATCGACAGTTCATATGTCCCATGGGAAGGTCACTAAGCCCCCACCAGCCTTTAGGAGAAGGAAGAGGCAAAAGAAAGGAGGGGAATATGGCACAGACGGAGAGAAACTTCTGCAATGGAAAAAGCAGGACAGACAGATGGGAGCTACCAACGACAGCGCTTTTCCTTGAGTGACAGAAATCATTTATTTTGCTCTGAGTAGTTTTCTAGATGAAGTTTTTCCCTGCACAGTGTGCAGTGCAGACCCTTTTCCTGATCTCGCCAACATCCTTAAGAAAAATTCCACATTACTACCCAGAGGTGAGGATGAGTGAGCAGGAACTGGGATGGTGTAATGGGTGCAGGGTGGCAGGAAAGGCTGCCCAAAGAGACCAGATGGTGTTCGGTTTGCAGCCACTTCACCATCTCGATGAGGGATTGCTCTTTATGCTTGCAGGTGTGTGTGCACGACACATATTTTCTCTGAAGCCAATGTAAGCATCATAAAAGTCTGAATGGAATCTTCTTTTCTTTTTCTACCCTCTCTTTCCTCCTCCAATGTCCTCCTGAAATTTTTGTCTCATTGTGATTAAAGGCATCAAAATATGAAAGGTGAGGTAGCTGGAAGCAAGTGAAATTTTTGGAGATTGAAAAATGTTCTGCCAGAGATTCCGACAAGGCACAGTATGGTCAACTGCTCTATCCGTAAGTTAGTTCTAAAAGCAAAAATGCTGGAAAGTACTAAATACATGTACTTAAATTACTTAAGAAATTGGCCTGTCACCCAGACACACTGTAAATAAATGTTGCTAGTTTCTGAAGAGAACCACTTTGCAAAGCCAGCTAGTTTCACCCCAAGCATCCATGGAGAAATGTTCCTTCCAATTTGACTAAATTATTCATTTTGACCATATTTTCTCATAGGAAATTTAAAGAGCGTCTTGGAAGGCATCACATTTTATCAATATAATGCCACATTTCCATGTTTTTGGGGGCTAATGGGAAGGGAGAGACAAATTCACAAAGATGAATGTAATAAACAATATAAATATTGGAAATATAAAACCCATATTAGCAGTAGAAGGTGTTTCTCTACAAAAGAAGGGAAAGAACACAAAGTGATTAAATCTTTTAAAAAATGATTTGGAAAAAAATAGATATGTGATTCATGAGCCCTTCCCTATTACCATAGTATCCAAATTCTTTAAATCGACAAATGAATAAATAAGAAAGATGGCATTGGGGCTAATGCTAGCTCTGAGAAAGTATCGTAAAATAGAGCAGGTTTGTCCTTAATATCCTCCATCCCCCCCGTGCAGCAGCCTCTACTCTCCCCTGCCTAGTGCCCTCATATATTCTTCAGTCTTCCTTGCCCATGAAATCTCACTTTCAAATAGGAGCTGATAGACTTATTCACATCAAAGCTTATGATTGATGAGATAATATCCCTCCCAGAGTCTGGCAGAGACAGCTAGTTTCTTACCAATAGTTATTCTGCCCAACTCACTCAAATTAAGAGAGCACCAATTTTTAGTTAGGTACATGATTTTCCAACTAAGCCTGCAGGCTCCTTTGTAGCTAGTGAAGCACTGTGTGCAACTTATAAGAACTCTTCTTGAAATGTAAGGGTACAGCTTGCTCCTCTTCCTTACTTTCATGGATGCTTAGACTATGGATGTGATGGCTGGAGCTCTAGCTGCCATACTGGACTCAATTACATTCATGCAATCTTGACATGATAGAGTCTCTGGATGAACTTGGGTCTCTGATAATGTTGGTGCCACCATGTAAGTATCTCCCTTGGGCTTTATGTGCATAAAAGAAATAAATGTCTCATATTTTAGCCACTTTTCAGACTTTCACTGACATGAAAACCTAATACTAATTGAGATATAGTTGTATTTTAATAGATGCCATTGGTTTAGCATAAAGTGAAATTTAGTAGTAATATTTCAAATTTCAGGATCTTCTCTTTTTGATGAGAGAACATTTTTTTGAGAAAGTGTATGTTTGGGGGCAAATTTAACTTATGAAATATACAATTTTTCCTGAAAATCAGAAATAAGAAACTTGAAACTATAAATATTGAACCAATGTTTTTTTAAAAAGTGATTCACAAACCATTCTTTCCTAGAATTTTTTTGAGCAAATATGAATGACATATTTTACTTCTGGAAAATAAAATGTTTTGTCCATGGTGAGCCTTAGAAAGAGCTAGGAGGCATCATTGTGGTACCAGCTATTAACTCGTTGTCTCTATACTCAGAATGCTCTTTTGTATGCTCAGCTTTGTGATGCAGGCACTGGGGCTCCACATACCCCACTTCTGAGTTGCCAGCTGGCTCTGAGTTATGCTCTGCCAATAGCGGTAATGGAGTGAGAATGCAAGGTTGGAGGAGGAAGAGAGGACTTACTTCTTTTTAAAGGCTTCCTGTCTGCTTGTGGTTCCTGTGAACTTCACCCCACCAACACTGCTTCACCCCAGCAGAAGCAGTTCTTTCCTGCAGCAGCAGCCGCCGAAACTGGTTTACAGTTTTCTAATACTGGCAAACTGGACTCTCTTCCCCTCCCCAACCAGACAATATCATCAGTCAGTCTGTGCCTTCTCCCTGGGGACCCGATTTTCAGCTCCATTAAACATGTCCTCTAAGTTTCTAAGTTTTAA